AGCCAGTTTTTAAAGGGGTCGCAGCGGTCCTCCAGCTAGGTGAAGTTCTTTCGAGGAAAACAGTAAACAGAACTGGCCTGCTAGTAGACACTTCTGTGGATACTGCTTCTGCAACCTTTTAGCGACTTAAAGTACACGTTAACTTTTCGAAAAGGGCAGAAAATTTTTATGGGGGTTTGGAGCGTACTTTTAATTGCGGAGGGCTATCAGTCTGTATTCTCCAAATGGGACTTCATTCGTCTTATAAAATCGCATCTCAGTCAATAAAAAGGGGGAAATTTAACATAATTCTTACAATCAGATGTGAGCAGTAGCCAAACCGTCACGGTTTAGATGACTCTAATTCCGTGAGGACATTTGGAAGCAGACAATGCATACTGCCTTCTTAACGTTTGTTTACTCAGTTACTTACTTACTCCGGTCTTACGAGACCGGCGGTAACGGTTTGGCTAAGTTTTAGTTTATTACTTAGTTTACCACAGGTCTAGTGGCTAAAAGTATCTAGGTTGGGCGAGCAATTTACCTTTTTCCATTGGAAATTCTCCCTAATGGAGGCGAATTTTACAAGTTACGTTGCTACTGCCACGCGACATTGAAGGTATATTTTTATCTTTTTGGCTATTCTTATTTCGCACCGTTATTTGCCTTTCTGTAGACCAGACTAAGTCCTTTGCAAATGATTAACCGTCCGCAAAAGTCCTGTTTGCTGGCAGGCAGTCAGCTGCACTAAATCCAACTGCCTATTGGTTACATCATAACAAAAGCTTTGCCTGCTACACCCCAGGACTGTCAAGATATGAGGGGGGGGCGGGATGGTGAACCGTTATGTGACATTAGTCAGTAAGACGTGGGCTTTGGCATTCGCTTACTGCTTGTGGCATCTCTGGCATATTGTAGCGAGTATAAGTATCTGGTGTAGGACTCTGATGGACTCGAATCACTCAAGGTGGAACACATAACCTGAGCCTTCACCGCCATCTATGAGGCTTATCAACCGAGAAAAAATATAAGATTTATTCTCCCCCGAGTGAGCGTGCGGGGACCAACGTGCGGTTGTGGCCACTATAATTTAAGACCAACAGGGCATTTTGTTAGGAGGCAGAGTTCTTAGTTTACGTGAAACCGATTTAAACTATCATTTGTATATATCGAAACCCAGCAGAGGTTAGGTCATGGCGTAACTGTATAATACTGTAAGGTACCTCACGTAGAAGTAGACACAACAGGGCATTGGGTAAAATTCTGGTTTCGGGCTCACTACAGCAAGCGAAAACCCCAGCATTTTGTAATATGGGACCGATGCTAATGGTGGTTAAATAGGTGGGCATATCGGGGGCAGGAAAGACAATTCAAAAAGTAAAGCCTATAAAGGAGCAATTATTAAAATGACCTAATGTTTGGCAGCAAAATAGAGCGCGATAATTAAAAGGAAAAATACAACCCATAGGAAAGGGGTGCACAGAATAAAAGTAAACTAAGACTAGTAAATTAAACAATAAACTAAAAGTAAACTAACTAGATTAACCTAAACTCACTAACCTAAACACTTGACTAAAACTTGACTTAATCCAATAAAACTAAAAGTAACCACCGGCGCTAAATATTTCAGTGTGGGGGTGCAATGTGGATGGATTCTGTCATACCTTTGTGATGAGAAAAAGATGCTTACTACTGCGAGGAAAGCGTGGTGAACCCGGCACCAGACTGTCACTTGGTATTGTATTTTCAAGATCATTGTAAACGAACTCAGCTGAACCGCATCTTATATTTATTTACAACTAGACACTTAAGTAAACGTAGAAAACAAAAAAAGCAACAACTGTCTCAATGTGTGTCGCGGTAGGCGTGGCCAGCCGTTGCAGCCTCCATTTTCGGCTTTATTTCCGAATTTAAAACCCATATAACAATGCACACTGTGGAGATGGAGAGGAAAGCTGGCATCAGAGTGCTCAGTACAGTTCCAATGCCCGTTATCACGAAGTAATACTGCCAGCGAGGGATTGCCTCGATATAAATGTCTCCGGCCCAGTCAGCGCGCATAAACAGTTCTTTTCTCGCATCGCCATGGATGCAAGCCAGGTGTTGCCGCGGCATGTTGCCCGGGTTAGAACGGTTCGTGTCATCAGCCGTTCTCACTTCGTGGTAGATAATATTGAAAGCTGGATCCAGAGTGACTCTGCCGCTGGAGTTTATAAATAGGTCGGAAAGGTTGAGTTGTTCCCTCCATAGGGCAATCCAGGCCGCGGGCGATGCAACCTTGTCAAAGGTCTCTTTTGAAAAGGCGGTAACGGTAAAATTGTGAGCTTTTTCCGGATCGGTGTCCAGGAAGAACCATGAAATCGGAGAATGAACGCTTCCGCGTACGGGACAGGTCAAAATAAGACGTTCCCCGTCTCTGGTCTTGTATTTTCTTTTAACTGGTCGGGACACAGCTGCGGCAGCTCGGGAAGCGCTTTCCTCATCTAGACCGCGAGATCCTGCCTTGTATTTGTAGTGGTTCCTAAAAGTTCACAAAATGCACGGATTTATCAAAATAGCACACAACTCCAAGCATTTTCGGTTATATTCTGAGACTCACCTAAAGGCAGAATACTACTGAAACAGAGAAACCTTGTACTAATTACGACACTTCCCGAGGTCGCTCTAGTGCGTAAATTAATGTTCTAAAATCAACAGTCTAGAGCTTATCAGCTGGGTAACCATCAGCCAAGGAGGCATGGGAGTTTCCAAAGAAGTTAAAAAAGCATTATGAAAATTTTATATCACTGTAGACCCATTCCATACGGAAAATAGATGCCGAGCGAAGCGATTCTCAGATGTTGAGTTAAGGAAAAAGGGTCAAGTCGAGAAGACTACCTACTAACAGGCTTTTAGTTATGCTCCTAATCCATCTTCAGAGCCTGATGAGTATGGAGTTTGAGACCAGGCTATGTGTTTCATGACTACAAGGATTGTTCAGTTTAACCAGCTATTGCACCAATCCCGATAAGCGGTCATCCGAAATTTTTCTTGTTGGTGAAACAGGAAGGTGGACCGATTCCCCCGCAAGTTGTTACCATGCCCTATCTAGGACAGTGATGTTCGTGTCCCTTTCTGTGGACAGCCGATCATGTA